ATAATAATAATAATAATGACAATTATAAAAATGATAATGATAAGAATAATAATAGCATTATTAATGTTATTATCATTACCATTATTTCAAATCAAGGTGTTCTCTGGCCAGTTGCCCATAAATACATATATCACACTGTATACTTTTAGTAGAGGAATTCACATACAGACACATACATTGGTCATCTACCATATCTTTGCAATCCCAAATATATCTAAAAATGCTTGCCTACACACACGATAGATGGTATTTTAGCACACAACAGTATGACAACATGAACTGATGAGGTGCTGCAGGATGTTGGCTTATGATGCTTGACTGGCACTTTGCTTATCAATTTCTGGATGTATGTGCACTGTCATAATTTCCTATTTTCTAGAAATGTTTAAGAAGGTCTATGAAATAGGTTTAGTTACTCTTTCAAAACACCCATCATTACAGGGAGTGCCAATAACACAAGTAGGGCTATGAGATTCAAGGAACATCTGTTGCTGACCTGACCCAACAAGATGCAGGTGGGCGGCCCCCTGGGCAGGGGCAAGGGAAATATGACCCTCAACTGCAGAGAAAGGTCAGCCCCAGGCCCTGGGGGCCCGCTGCCGGCGACCACGCCCTGGGCAGGCAAAGGGAGGAATGACCCAGTGTCTCCAGGAACAAGCAGAACAGGTTAAGGCCTCATACAAGCAACACCTTCCCCTTCTTGTCTCCCGTAGGCAGCCGACGACGCCCTCTTTGCCACGTCCACGTCTACCAATCTATATCTCCGTTACTACGTGTCTGCTTAACAATAAAGTGTGTTAACAGATACCGAGTTTTCCTCTGGACCTCCAGATAATATAGTGGATTTCTATATATATAATTGAATTAAGAGACCATTATAAGGGCCCTGTTTACCAGTCTTGTGACTTACGAATAATACTCCATTTGTCAGGCTATATTTTAGCAACATTTTCCACCAATTTAGAGGGATCTCTTACTCAGGTAAATCCTTGTCAGCAATGGCACCATGCTAAGTGATTTTCCACAGCCAGAGAAACACAAGGACACGTCACAAGGCCAGCACTAGCACTCAGGAAAAAGATTACCCTCTATCATACACCCTGGCTATTGATTTAAGTAATGCTTGGACAGCTCATGTTGGATGTAACATTACAAATACTCCTAATGTCCACTTAGTCCACTTTGCAAAAAATGGTAATGCATATTGTTGTGACACCATACTGCAGATTAAATGCTGGCACCAAACCAGCAATGGGCTTATGTTTGAATAGCTCCTCTGAGTCAGATTCCACATTCAGCTCACGGCCATATTCAGCCATATTCTCAAACAGTGGTCAGTGCCAGGTTACACAAGGTTTAGATGTAGAAGCACTCTAGCTAAGGACAAGATTTGTTCATTATTCTGGTTAAAATCAAGGTCCTGCCACCTTTCTCATATGCTATCAGACTGGCATACGTCATCCTGAGTGAAATCTGAACCACCAGCAGAAGAAACTTGTCTAGCACACCCTCCAAATACAGCTTAGAACTCACATGCATGACCGAGCAATGTGAACTACACCCATTGTCAATTGTCAAATGATGCCTTCCACTTTAGAAAACACAACAATTACCATTACCCCTCTTGGTCCACAGTGCTAGAAACCCACCCTCAATGCCAAAGCTCCTGTTGATGGAATATCACAACCCAGCATGCAGAGACATTGCTGACATGGCTCACTCTCCAACTTAAAAAGGCTGGAGTAGAGAGTCAAGATAGACAAGTCAACCATTTTCCATGAGCGGTTATCAAAGGTTTCTGCACTCTGGAGCCCGGCCCAAGAAACACAATTGTCCGAATTCTGGCCGCATCACGGAATCTAGAATGGCACAGGAAATCCCCAGCTCTGATCATTAAAACTTGACTCCTGTCTTCCAAATGGTATACAAAGAGGTATGATGTCATCAAATCAATACTAAAATAGCTATGAGCAGTAATGATAAATACATCCTAGACATACAGGTCAACCTTGATTTCTGTGTGGTTTCATGACTACCCTCAGCAACTCAGATACATGATGTCAGGCACACTCTCAGCATTCATAGCAGTATTTGTAAATTAATGGAATACTAGACTTAAGACATTTTCTCTCCAATGACCGTAATAATAATAGCGGTAAAAAGCAATAACAAAAAATATGATAATAATAATAATAATAAAATAATAATGATAATAATAATAATAATAACAATAATAATAATAATAATAATAATAATAACCTTTATCATCATTGCCATCATTATCCTCTACATAACTGCCACCATCTTCAATATCATAACTATTATTATTTGTAATATCCATAATATCAGAAGCATTAATAACCCTTTCCTACCTGAATTAAGAAATCCTGATTTTTTATTTTATATTCAGAGACATATTGTTCCTAGGACTCCAATGAAACAATTTATGTTACAAATTTTGCATATTGTATTTTCAATACAAAAATACAGTAGTGGGTACTCAGAGTCCCGCCAGGCTTCTAGACACAAAAAAGGAACCATTTTTTTTACAAAAAAGAAAACATAATAGTTAACTTCTGAGAAAGAATTTTAACAAAATAATACTAGATTTGCACTCTTTATGAAATACTAGAATATAATATCATTATTCCATGGCATTATCACACTTTATAATAATCATTGGCACCTGTTACATATAAAATTGAACATATCATATTTCATTCTTTTACGTGAAAATAATACACTGTAATTGTAATAATGTACATAATATATATGAGCAAATAAATAAAAGTCTAAATTTTCTATTTCTTCAATTGCAACTCATTACAATGAAAGTAGAATTTAGTTGTGAAATTCAAAAAAACAATTCTTTGTAGCATTACAACATAGATGAATCCCACAATGACTAAATGTTGATATTGGTCGTGACTCTATTCCTTTCTTGGAGCATACCTCACATCTTCCCTTTTTCTGAGTGAATTTTGGCCAGTGTACCCCCGTATTGGTAAATCTAACTGACGATGGTATACTGTACTCAGTTTTCCTTCGCTTGGGCGTTCCTCGAGCTTTACGATCTTTTGTATAAGTCAGAAGTCCTCTGGCAAGCTCTGTACGGAAGTTGAAAACTGAAAGAGATGGATGAGTTTCTTTGTAAACAGCATATGCATTCACAATACTCATATCAAGAAGACCAAAGAAAATTCTATGCCACCATTTCATGCTATTTCTGTTTGTGCCATACAGTTGCCGAAGCATATCATGCTTATCTACTCCGCCCATGTTCTCGTTATAGTCTTTTACTACTTGTGGGCATGGAATTGTTATTTTGTTTCCATCTTTCTCTGTTCTTTTGACAGTTGTAGGGGAAATACCATGATAGTTGGAAGCTAAATGAACTGCTTTATTATCCTTCCATTTGTAGGCAATTATACCATTTGGTGTGGACCTGTAATCAAAGTCTCCTCTTTTTAGTTCTTTGTCACCTGCTAGACAAGGAAAATCTTTTCTTGTTGGTCTGATAGTGCCACATGCTTGAATCCGAAAACTTTGCAATACTTCTAGGAGAGCAAAAGATGTAAAAAAGTTATCAAAGAAGACTTTGTGATTTTTGCCTCTGAGATGGTCGGTCAATTTCAGAACTACTTCTCCACCTAAACCATATTCTTTCCTCAAATTTGGCTCAGTGTCTCCCCCTTTGCCAGTATATATATATCAAACTTGAAAATGTATCCTGCATTATCTGCAAGACACCACATTTTATAACCCCTTTTGATTGGTTTCATGGGATTATATTGTTTGAAACTACATCTCCCTTTGAAACGAATCACTGATTCATCAACACTTAGCTGTTCTCCGGGAGACCTTATGTCCAAAAAAATCCTATTTAGGCTTTCAATAGGTGGCCTTAGCTTATACAGCTTATCCTTATTATTTGGATTCATTTTGGAGTTGTCATTCAAGTGTAATTTACTAAGAATACTCATGAATCTATCACGTGCCATTGCTTCTCGAATAGGTCTAACACCCAGGTCTTCAGCTGTTGCCCAATAATGATGCAAACCTGGAAGTTTATGATAACCTATTACTATGTTGATACCTAAGAACACATAAAATTCATCTTTGCTCAAAGATATTGCTCTACCCTTTTGTACACTATAAAGATTTGTCTGATAAACAATATTGCTGATTGTGTCCTCATCAAAAAATTGTAGAAAGGCATGGAGTGCAGACGAATATAAATTCTCATTCATTGAATTAGATTGGAACTCTACATTCTGAGCAGCTTCCGGCTTCTTCCTCCAATGCCGTCAGTTGTGCTGACACTGATAACTAGTAGAGGGATGCCCCTCTTTGTCTGATGTAGGATGCTCCAGGTGAGTTGCAATAAGTTCATAATTTGCTGTGGCTTCTTCAGACTCTCTTTGAGCTCGCAATAAGGGATCAATTGATACAGTATTGTGGCTGAATTGGGTAAGATCATCCTCAAACTCGGGGTCATCTATATCCTCTTCTACATCTGTATCGGAGTCGTAATCTGATGGAAGGTCTTCTAAAAGTTTCAAGAAACTCTCTTCATTTAGGTCTTTCCTTGCTCCCATGCTGGTATCCGAAGTAAAAAAAAACAAAAAAACATAATAACACTATATACTGGCAACACAATGTGCTATGGCAATAAAGAATTGGCCTACCGCCACTTATTTTTCGTCCTGGAAAACTTTATCAGTCAATGCTGAAATTAATTTTCTGTAATCGTTTCTCAATACTTATTTTCTATTCAAAAGTATATGGATAACTGTAGTAAAATTTCATTACCGAAGAAAAAAAAAAAAAGGGCTCTCCAACATTTTTATTCATCAGTGGTAGTGGTAAATTATTTTTTCAAATATAGCAAAAGATGATAAACAATAAATGATGTTAATACACCTTTTCTATACATATAATCAACAATCTGAAAATATGACTAAATCCCTAATTGGCAACTATCTCCCTGTCAGGAACTTGAATACCCAGCCATATTTAGCTATATATCATAAAAGTGTTCACTGCTTTGTATACTTTTAATAACTCTGGGTGTTCTTGACTCACTAAAGAATAAACTGACAAAAAAACACAGTATACACCCAGATAGCAAAATGTATGGGGCCCATGTGGGTATCATACAGGCAATTGTGGGACCCACATTTGCCCATAATGGCCCCACATGGGGGATGAAACAGGGTATTCATGTGGAGCCCATGTGGGCAAAATGGGCAAATGTGGGCATTGAGTGGGGGAATGTGGGCAATGATTTAATTGGAACGTGGGGGGTCCAGGGCCACTCTAACTTGTATGATGATTTACATGAGTCAGTTTACATCAATCCAAGTACAACACAAGCTTGACCAGTGGCAGTAAAGGCTACTGGCACTGATACTAGACTCTGGTAAGGGTAGGTAGAACACTAACAGTAAAAAATGACACATTTTCAGTTATTAAGTTCAGTTTATATATCTATTTAGTTAGAATTTACAGAACTGGAATCAAAATTAAGTATAACATATTATTTAAAACAAAACCAAAAAATTAATCCACTTCTGTTTCAACATTTCCGGTACAACGGTGGGAAAATTCAAACACTCGCATGCCAGTTTTGGCCAAAAAGAAAACATGCACTGTTCTTGCAACTGTCTGGAGCTGCAACTGTTCATCAAAAATAGATTTCTTATTTAAAACAAAACCAAAAAAATTAATCCACATCTGTTTCAACATTTCCCTCGTCTTCTGGCTCCTGTTGCGTTGGTTGTTTCCCCTTGGCAGCCTTGTCCCTTTGGGATTTGCCTCCGAACCTGTCCCTGCTATTAGTAAACCAAGCATAAATGGCTTCATTAATCTCCTTGTCTGTGGCAGACTTGTAGTCTTTATGTCTCCTTATGCTTTCTGAAAAGAAAAAAAAAAACTGTTATTATAATTCTTGAACTTAGTAATTCATAATTCAATGGTAAAATAACCACTACATGTAATATACTTATCTACCCGCACAAGTATATAAAACGTAATGATGCTTTTCCAATAAAGATTTACAATTGGAGGTTATAAATACTAATATCTAGCAACATATCACTAAAACTTTTAAAATATAATTACAAATTAATTAAGAACTTCCCAAAAGCCACTGGATTTGCCTGTATTTAAAGGTTGACATTTTGCTAGATATATAACATTCAAAACGTTTTAGACTATTTTTAATTTAAAAACAGAGTAAATTATTTTTTAGACAGCATAATCACTTCATCTTTAAGTGCGTCAATACTCAATTTTACTTTCCTTACAGTATGTTACAAAAGCCCTTAACATTATCATTACCATCTTTCAACTCTAGTGATAAAACTAAATGTCTGTCTTAACAAACGTCTGTTTTTAAGTACATAAAACTCCACATTTAGTCCCCTTTATCGGAATATCACCCAGACTACTTGGTAGTTACTCTATGCGCGTTGAGACAGTTCAATCAACATTCAGTCAACATTATAACGTCAAACATGCAAAGTGCCAGAGTGTGCGCTTATGTATTTAAAGACCTTAGAATGACTAATATTGAGACTTCAAGTTGGATAAAGGGTGATACATGGCCAGTCTTTATTCCATTATAATTTTACCTATTTTCAATTAGTTGTCAGCTATTGTCTTTGAGTTTTTAACTTTTTCCTGGAATATTTTGTTTGTCCCTGTTCATTTTTCCTCAGTAATTCAGCGAGAAAATGCCCAGCGGCAAAAGGTTTAAATGGGGATATAATTGCAAAATAATGACTTTTGCAGCTTTGTTACAGCAAATATAAAAGGCATTTTAAGTGTTGTCTAATGGACATTAACCAGGCACAAGTACAGGTAAGTAAAGTGCGACGTACTTCTGATGACAGCCATCAAAGTTACATTGTCTTCTAAGGCCAACTTTCCGGAGGTACCTGTCCTAGTGTACCTCTTACTCAACTCATGGCTAAGGAGGGCCCCAAGAATTCCTCTTGTCACATCCCTCAGGCTTCTTCCACCCAAAAGAGTAAGACGGTGAATCTGACAATAAAAACACAAGACAATACTTAAATTCAAAAATAAAATCCCTAATATAGTTTAACTGAAGGTTTCAATTACAGTTTAAAGTAACAATATTATTGCGAACAAGCTCATTTGTTTACAACAGGCTTTTACTGTCTTATATAGCTAAACTAATTACTTTTCCTATCATATTTTTAATGAAAGATTGCACACATTTCAGAGAGTTGCAGTAAATGAGTAAATTGATCTCAAAATAACAGTATCAAAACAAAATGCTTCCACATAATGTTTACTTCTGTCTGCGTGCGGTAGAGAGTGAGCATCCGGTAGGCGGGTGACTCACTATGTTTGGACTAAAAAACAACCTTTGACCTGCCGGTTGTAGTTACAAGCATAAGTAGGCTAGGTTATTGGCAGGTATTGGCAATGAAAATAAAGATATTGGGATTTTTCTGGAAGTTAGATCATGAGTAACCTTTATGAATAAATATATTTTTTAGTGTGGGTTCAAAAGAGAACTTTTGGAGAAACCACACATTTGTATTAACAGATAGTGCCCCTCTGGATAAAGTCTGAGTGGTTCCCAGAGTAAAGAGAAGTAATAAGGCCTTTGCTAAGGAGCATAGAAAAGGGAGGGCGCTATAATAGAATCCCAGAATTATTTACTTCAAGCTTAAATTGTCACTACAATGTACCTATCGTACATGTACACTGTATTACAGTCATCTGAGTTGTAATACTTACTAAGAGCAACAGCATTATTGCATGTGCACACTCTGGCACTTCTACTTGTGCTTGGTTGTGGTGAATGACGGTCAGAGGTGGAATTACCAGAACGGATCGGAGTGGAACTATGCATCACTGAAAAAGAACAGAACTGACACTGAAAAAATGATAAGATATCAAAAGCTGGTATTCAGGCCTCTTCATTGTAGAATTTATAGGACACTTATTTCCAAAAAAAAAACACATATCAGCATTGTTTTATCTCTCTATTATTGAAGGTATAGTGACACAATATACTCAATCAAAAGTAACCTTTTGTACTATAGTTGAGAAATTTCCATCTGCAGAATGTGACATTCTGCAGATGGAAATTTCTCAAGTCTCCTAATTGGGGCACCTTTCAGCATGTTAATGGATGCACCAAGCATACAGATCACCGTTTTCAGCCCTGCTATCATGCAGTTCACTTTAGGCAACAGTATTAGAGAATCTTAGCAAAAACAATATAACAGTTCAAACATAAATCAAGTTGTCAAATGTATACTTTTTATGATGCTTCTGTAAGTTCTATTGATATTGCTCACCATTCATAAGACTTTGTTCAGAGGTTATAAAGCTATTCGGGGTTTGGGGTGCAGGTTCTTCAAACTCGCTAAACGAGGAATTTTCCAATTCCGAAGTCGGGCTAGGTAGCGACCGCTTCACAGCCATCACTCTGTGACTTATAAGGGGAGCTGGTGGCAGAGTTGGCAATGGCGGTGTTGGCTTCACTGGCTTGCAGGCGGCTTTTGGAGCCCTGCTGGATTCCTTTGTACCATGCCTAGGCCTACAACAGATTTCATTTTCTGGTGAAAACCTGTCGGGTGACCTGAAATTTACAACAACAAAATATGTTGAAGACAGTAGATACTAGTTACTTTACTTTTAGGGTAAGGAATGAGTTGAATGGCCGTGAAACTAGCAATGAGAGATTCTGGCATAGAGATAGATATTTTGGATTCAAACTTCATTTGGTAGAGATCACTATCTTTGGGTTTCTTTAGCTTTAACTTTAATTCTGAAGCAATACTTAATCTCTTTAAATGCTACCCTTTGATAAAATAATAAAATGCTTATACTAGTTCTAAAATAAGTCAATCATGTGGTATAAATTAATTCCACTAAAGCATGCTCAACTTTTGTTTAACTTTGAAATGGGTGACTACTATTATTATGAATGGATCATAGTCAGTATATTAGTATATGTGATCCATTTCTGCTATTATTCACTGGGTAGCATCATGCTAAGCAAAGCAATTTCAATTCCCTGCTTAGTATTTTTGTTATTATAATTAGATCTGATGGGAGTCCAATTAAGAACATAGATGACCTATAATGCCTACAGTCGTAGTGTTTCATAGAGCCCTTATATCAAGCCAAAAATACTATAACTGAACTTACCTTCTGTTTCCTCCTGCACTGTCTTCCTGCCCAGACTCCAGGTCACTGGTCTCCTCAGCTTTTCTACACTTCCTGGTAGCTTCACTCCACTCCGCTGAAATAGAATATTAACCCTTTCAGTCCTACATGTATCTGGACCAGTTGAAAAACACAGATCATACACATTAGTTCTGACTGGAAAGAAAGAATGATCATCTCTACAGAGTTTCAGGAGAAAACCACTCAAAACGAGTTAATTATTTGCAAAAACACTGAAAACACTAATGTTATTACATGTAATTACAAATGCGTCACCTAACAACTCTCCTGAGAAAAATAAAGTGATATTCAGCTCCCTTGTGACTTAAGCATGGACAACTGGACATGTAGTTCCAAAAAAAATACAGATCCAATACAAAGTGATAATCTATTTCCTTATAATGATCAAAATTTATAGTTAGTGTAGGTAGTGCATTTAAGCATAGCACATCTAGTACAGACCATATGATGAGAATAAAATGGAGAAATACGTACACATTTACATTATATAAGAATTTCAGAAAGATAATATCCTTTTGAATTGAACTTACTGCTTTTTCATAAAATCCTTGATATAGGATAGGCTTTCCAGGTGTTGTCTGGAGGGATTTTATTCTTGGCAGCCTTTTCAACATCTGTTCTGTTTCTTAGGTGGATTGGCCACAACACACAGTTCCTTTCTTCTAGGGTCAATCCAGTTGTCCGGAATGACTTCAACTTCTTTTCGAGAACTTTCCCCACTTGGACAGAATTCGGTTACAAGGAAATATGACATGTTTGTCGGGACACAAGAAAGACCAAAAAACAATATACAGTTCTGATAAAAAATAAATTAGTAATGTGAGTGATCATTTGTCAATATGCAAAATTTCTTAACAAAAATTTAACATGGAATATTAATTAACTCATTTGCTATGGTAAATCAGACAATTTTACCATTTACAAGTTTACCATGACCAATTTACCATTGATACAGAAAGCTGCTCCTGTCAACTCTGATGTCGCCTGTTAAATGATGGTATCCTGTCACACCTGTTTTTGAATATAATGGTTCAGAACAAACTTCTGTCAAAGAATATAATCATATACACTACAAGAATAGTCAGCAAGTGAAATACTGTGGATGGAACCTAGTATTGACATCTAGCGACTGGTAAGTACAAAACATAGCCTGCTGCAATTGCTGATGAAAAAAGGGGAACAGTTAGGGGGAATACAGAGGCTGGGTTACAGGGGTGGATACACAGGGTGTATACATATGGGGTGCATACAGGGGTGGTTACCAAGGGTGGAAATAGGAGGAAGATACAATTGAAGGGGTTAAACCATCTGTACTTACAGGTAAGTACAGATGGTTTAACCCCTTAAATTATTACAAGTAAGTACAGATAGTTTACAGATAGTTTAACCCCTTAAATACAGATGGTTTAACCCCTAGCATTAGAATGCTAGGGGATAAAGTAAGGTAAGGTAAGTACAGATAGTTTAACCCCTTAAATACAGATGGTTTAACCCCTAGCATTAGAATGCTAGGGGATAAAGTAAGGTAAGGTAAGTACAGATAGTTTAACCCCTTAAATTATTACAAGTAAGTACAGATAGTTTAACCCCTTAAATACAGATGGTTTAACCCCTTAAATACAGATGGTTTAACCCCTTAAATACAGATGGTTTAACCCCTTAAATACAGATGGTTTAACCCCTTAAATTATTACAAGTAAGTACAGATAGTTTAACCCCTTAAATACAGATGGTTTAACCCCTTAAATACAGATGGTTTAACCCCTTAAATTATTACAAGTAAGTACAGATAGTTTAACCCCTTAAATTATTACAAGTAAGTACAGATAGTTTAACCCCTTAAATACAGATGGTTTAACCCCTTAAATACAGATACCCTTAAATACAGATGGTTTAACCCCTAGCATTAGAATGCTAGGGGATAAAGTAAGGTAAGGTAAGTACAGATAGTTTACAGATAGTAAGTACAGTAATCTCCAAATTCAGAGCAAAGTACCAACTACCAAGTACCAAATGTAGGGCTGTTCATGATCACCATGTAATCTTTTCATACTCTCTGGAAATAAAATTACTTTAAGCAAGCTGGCAAAAATGTGTGAAAATTGATGCAGTCTTTGTTAAATGTGCCAAAACCTGTACATCAATTTATTCATGAACAGAATGTAGTATTCAAGCCAATGCGTCACCTGCATATAAATGGCACCAATTTATTGGTCAACTTTGAATTCTGCAAGACTAAAGCTAACTTTATCTTTATCTAACTTTATCATAGTCAACAGCGACTTTCAACCCAATCATTTTTATCTGTAGTGTATCTATGAAATTTAAAGTGAATTACTATACATGCAAAATTATTCCTTTTTTCTACTCATATTTGTGGTTTAAGTGAAAATTAAATAGGCTAGCTCCTTCAGAATTTGCAATGCAGTAAGGGAATCAAGATAAATTTTGTTTTATATGGCAATCTCACATATTTGCAAGTTATAGCAGAAAATTTGGCCAATCTCAACCTACTAGTGGCACCATTAACTTTCACTATTCCCAGGTCAGATGATTTCAGTGGCATGGTAAAGAAGTCCTCAAATGATGTAAATGGTTCAAAATATATCATTGGTTCAGAGTTGCTGTTATCCAGAACAATATTCCTAATCAATCCAAAATGCTGCCCTACCCTTATGCAGTTATCACTCTCTTTAATAGAGAAAAAAATGTCATTGTGCTTTACACATTTATACTGAGAAAAGGCAGCATATCCAACAAACACTGGTCCATTGTGGTGTTCATGACTGAACTCAAAATCCTTCTTGTAAGATCGCTGTTTTTTACTGAGAGCACAATCAGCTTCAGACAAACGTCGTATCACCTGAGCTAGTGGTTGGTTAGGTTTTCTGACCATTTTCTTCAGTCTACCCAAAAAATTCTCAAATGGGAAAGCTGAAAAAGAATCTAGAGTGCCATAATTTTTAGCATCTGCTGCTAAGTGAACAAGGCAATGGATATTATAGGTTTGTGTTTCAAGACCATAATATGTACTCTAATCACTAACAAACTTTGAAAGCAACTGCCCAGCACAGTGGGTCCTAATGTGGAATGGACTAGACGGCAAAAAGCAAAAAGTGATTATAATACCCATCATTAAGGTTCTGTTTCAAGACCACTATTCCAGTATTCAGTGGCCTTCCATCGCTCAAACTCTGACAAATGACGTGGTTTCCTATTAAATGACAGTGGAATAAATGGCTTACATGACTGAAGAGCTTCTGAAATATTTGCTGCCAATCTAGTACCAATCCGACTGCCTGAAGCAAGAGGTCCCTTAAGCCAACACCAGATCAAACGCTTCATAACTCCGAAAAAAAACAAATGCATGGGATCTAGTGGAAACTGTGTGACCATCTGACATAAACCAGAAAGAGGTGATGTACCAATATGATGTTCTGGCTGTGACTCATTGTCAAAGGCAGCATCAGTCCTGATTTGAGCATCAACCTCTGTGAAAATAACTTTGTTCTTCCACTCTCCCTTTTGGACACATTTGTCACAACCAAAATAAGCATTGTGAGGTTTTGTTTGTTTGACAAATGCTCTAGCAGGAGCATCACAAATGTAACTAGATACATGAACACCCACATTGTTCTGTGATCTGAATGCCTTCCTGTAGAGTAAGCCTCAGCTCTGAGACAAAGTCACCAAGATACTCATTGATGTTGCTTGGCTTTCCCTTCCCACAAAATAAACCAATGACAAATGGGTCCAAGTCATCTGGTAGGATAATTTTTCCTAATATCGGCCAAAATTGAGTATTGGCACTTTTAAAAATTGGAAGACCATCAATATTGATTTGGAGTTGGATTTTCCCATTAGATGAATTGAAGAATTCTGCATGCTTGTCTAGAAGCTCTGAAGTAAAGGTTTTGATACCTTTCTCTAAACCAAAGTAATAGTAATCACCACCAGCCTTATTCAGCAACTCATAATCTTGGGCAGTTTTGAGCAATGTCCGAGGATCCTTTGGTAAACTAGGCAAGTGGGGGCACAGAATTGAGAGAAGCTTCAGTAAGTGGTCATTTGGAGTTCTTGTTTCAACAACCCATGCTGCAGGTTTAGAGTTAAAGTGTGCTTTTGTGTCATTTTCTTCATCAGAAATTTCAGAATTAGTTGACTCATCTTCAGATAGTGAATAATATTCAGATATATCTGAATTTATTTCACAATCTGGCAGGTGTAAATTTTCATAAAGAAGCTCCTCATGCATATCAGGAGGATCACTGGGGGGATCACTGGATATCAAGCTCACATCATTGCTTGCTAAGGCAAGTTCCAAACACCTAGCTTCAGAATCAACAGTATGAAACAATGTTTGGTCAGTTGACACTTCAACATTTTCAACAATGCCCTCAGTATCATCATTGTGCAACCCTTCATTATCACAACCATCAGATAATGAGGAACCAGCACAGTTTGGAAAAATTTGATGTTGAGAATCATATCCTACACCATCTAATTCTGAGCCTGAATCTGAAGCGCTGCAATCAATTTCCTGAATACTCCAAATATAGTCAGAAACTAATTTCTTTCTTCTTCTCCATCGCTGAACACGTGAAGTTCCAGGTCTTTTGATACCTCGAAGAGAATTGTCCATGGGTACAGATAAAACTAGTGACCAGAAATTTATGTAACGAAACAGATTGATACAAAAAGGTCTATTTGAGACAGTACAAAACAATTAACAGAACCTCTAATAAACATTTTGTTTGGATCAGACAGTGGAAAATGATAGGCCCTGAGATTAAACCTGGTCAAGACAATACCAAAGATATGTGAAAATATATGCTGTTTCAATAACTGAAGTCAGCATATAGAACAGTTTAATGAAAAATACCTTCAACTTTAGGTCAGGTATATCATAACTGTGACCTATATTTTTTTCCATCAAATAAATATGGAATAATATATACCAAAAGGAGGGATAATGAGGATGCAACCTGTAATTAGCTGTGTCTACATTAAAGAAAACACCCCACAATTTTTTATGTTTTTTTATGAAAAATGGCAACTGTTAGGATTCTAAACAAATACTGTTGATATTCATAACTTTCATAAAAATCAGAAGACTTATTTTATTTAAACCAACACAGAGACATGCATGATGGTATAGAAGGCATGTCAAATAAAGACTTATATGAAAAATTCATATCACAGGCTCTTGATAAGTCCTTGTAAAAATAAAAAATAGTGTTTTAACGAGAAACTAGAAATAATCTGCAAGGGTGATACATTAGCATGCATGGATTATTTTCCAGTGTTTAAAAGAAAATGTTTTAAAATATTAAAAAAATAAAACCACATTAGTGAACGCTATGTTTTGGTGGTCACAGCAATCTTTTCTGTGACACAATTAGGATATGTTGGTTTGTTTACTTGTAGAGGTAAAAAATTCTCACAAACTTAAATTGTTAAAGAAGCAAATTATAACAATTCTAATATTCATTCATTGTATCTGATAATTACAATGTAAGTAATGTAGAAGGTATTCAGTATACAAAAGGCCTGTGAAGTATTTCAGGTAAGCATCTAAAAACTAATATTTGAACAGAAAAAAACAATTTTCCAACATGACTGTATGAATAGCCACTGTTATTTTTTATCATTAAGACTACTAAAACCATTTTCACTAATGCTAAAGGCTGCTGCTGGGAAAATACACACATGAAGTTAATAACTCTTGTTTAAGTAAGGACAGTGCCGCCGACTATGAAGAATAATTACGTTTTATTTCTTCTGAGGGCGCCAGTCCCGCACTACTCTCTCTAGTAACTCGTGCAGCGCTCCTGGCGGAGAAAATGTACAATTTTCATTTTCTCCACCAAAGAGCCCTTTCTGCACTATTCTAATATTTTTTATGTTGAATAAAAGATTGGCAGTAAAGGGTCTAAAAGCTGACGAGAGATCGTACTAAAATGTTCTGTTTATTAGAGGCGCCTGTCAAAATCTACAAAATGTGATTTGCCCGAATGCCGGGGACTCGAATCGAATCCCCGAATGCCGGGGACTCGAATATCGGTTATACAAAGAGAAGTGCAGAAAAGTGCTCCCTCCCGGACAAAGTGTGGGAAATCTGGAAAAGTATTCGCCAGAGGCCGCTTTCAAAGAATAGTTAGAAGGCATTTATGTTCGTGAAATAAAATTAAATGATACCATGAAATATTTCGAGACTTCATGAAAAGATTTTATGATATTATGACCCTTTTTGTGGTATTATAAAATCTTTTCATGATTTCATGAAATATTTCAAATAATTCATGAAATCATGAAATGATTTTATAATACCACAAAAAGGGTTTGTGATACAAAATCCTTATATAATATCCTAAAAGCTTTTCATAATACCATAAAATATTTTGTAATATCATAAAACTTTGAAACCTACTGATATGATGTTTTTGTGATATGATATCATAAGAGATTTTGTTATATTATCATAAAAAGATTGTGTGATATCACAAAATCTTTATGATATGTGGAAAAATTTATGATATCACAAGAAGATTTTATGATTGCGCAAAATATTTTTATGATATACAAATATTTTTGATATCCAATAAAACATATTAGGATATCGTGAAATATTTCGTTATATCACTATACACATTGAGTAAATGATAAAACTGCTTGCAATGGATCTAGTGAGCGTTATTTTCGTTTATGTGGAATGCTAAAATATTGTATTGCTCTGTGGTCGCTGTAATCTGTCTGTAAGTTATACTGACATTTAATATAACTTATAATATGTTGCCCACATGAGCCCCATATAGGTACCATGTGTGGTACAACACACATGGTACCCAAATGGGGCCCACATGGGCAAAAGTGGGCAAACATCAATATCATGCTGCCCATATATACCCACATCATCCCCATACAGGCCCCATATAAAATATATGGGTCCCATTTTGCCCACATGAATACCCATGTGGGCCCCATAAATTTTTGCTATCTGGGTACAACTTACCGATATATGAGAGAAATTGGGTTGGAAATGTAGCATAAATTTCTGGTGGGACCTTCACTGCAAAAAAATTCGTCTGCTTGATTGTTTTGTCATACCGGGCAGCAAATGTTGCCAGATTCACAATCTGGTTGATCCCTAGGAGGGTAATGAGGTTCACGACAGTGTCTTCGCCACCCCCATCATCAGTAGTATTGTCAACGGCCAGACTTATTGAAGTAGCATTGGAATGGTAATCTATTGGCATTTCTGATCTGTAAGACCATTATATACCATGAATTTGGAGTTTTCCAGTGGTTGTATGGTAGATGGAATGGTAGTTCAGGGGAACTCCACATTCCATTGAAGCTACAGAGTGTGGTGTTTATCCTATGGAGGGATAAGCCTCTAGTGTTTTACATGGCACTATAGACACCTGGTCTCGGGGACATAAGGGTGATCCTCTATAGGCCTTGTAAACAAGGGCACCACTGTGCTCTGTGCTGGGTCGGCACGGTCACGGGAGGCCGAGGCGCTTATGTGGCACTTGTGCCGCAGTTCAGTACTAACTGTCGTCGAACATGAGTGTTCGTGGGGATTTATCTTGGGTAGATATTCCTAATTTCGGTTATAACAGTACTGAATTCCGTGTGACTATACGAAGTAGATGAGACATGGGTCTGCATCTCTTCGTACTCTCCAAGGGGAGAATTTTGGACTCGTCAGGAGACGAGGAAATTCAATTGTAACAGTAAGTACCCATTAAAGGTATAACATTATTTCATGTGTTTATAATCACCAATTGATATAATACTGAAATAAGTGAAGTTTACAAGAAGGAAAGTCATACGTAAAACTGGACGTATTATTCTTATAACAAACACTGAACCCGCTCTGGAGAGAGTGGAATAAAAATCTGTTATCCAGTGGCCTACACGCGAGTATATTTGGTTATATTCACTTGTTGCCATCTTTACTCAAGGGTGGTAAGAAGTGGTATAGCCGCACTCAAAAGACGGCTAGGTAACAGTATATAGCTATGGTACTAAAAATGTTAAGCGGGAACCTGACTTCCCGCCAGGCGCGAAAGGGTTTTAACCTCAATACTCAATTATTCTGGCAGCATACCTGTCATAATTTCCCTCTTGGTGTTGGAAGTGCATGGTGTAAAGTCATCATCCTCATTCTCCTCGTCAGAGTCGAAGCCGTCATCATCCTTATCATAATCTCTATTTGAATCACTGTCATCTGATGTCAAGTTGCAGCTTCTTCTCTGAC